TTTTTTTTTTCTAAAATGCAAAGAAACAACAAAACTGCTACATCAGTCACTCGACACACGATATAGGACTTAAAACGCCGAACCTTGTTTTTAATACAAAGAACTGACATGCAACACTTAACAATGGTGTAATAATAACCAGTTACAACACTGTACAATATGTGACTGACTCACGCTTCAATGCATGATGCAATGATGTAATAATAACCAGTTACAAAGCTGTACAATGTGTGACTGATTCACACTTGAATGCATGATGCAATGAAGGCTTGAAAATCGTGCAAACACTATTTCGATTTTCTATTTTTCAAACTCTATGTCATCTCTGCATCTAACTATGTAAATACACACGATCTAATGTTCGGTTGATACTGTCAGATATATTGCACTCTTTTTTTCTTTCTAACATACCCCTAAAAACTCACTTAAAATGTTGCTTGAGTCACTCGACACAGGATAAGAGATTTACACCGGCGAACCCTGATACAAAGAAATGAAATGCTACGCAAAACGATTTTGTAAATATAACCAGTTACAAAACTACAAGTCAGTGGATGGTGGACAAAAATGCAACGTTCTGTGCATAAATAGGAAGTTTCAAAGTAAAGTTCTGTTTTTGTTGCATCTTAAGTCAATTCGAGTTATTGAACGCCCTACACTACGCTTGATAGCACGTTTTGTTGTTCCACTGAATACCTTAAATAAAGTCACGGCGTCTTGACAGCTGAGGCATTGAAGCAATGAAATACATAATTTATAAAACGCTACTAATCACACTGGAATTTTAGTCCTTTACAAAACTATAACCTTGTTTTGAAGTACACCAGAGAAGTCTTCTATTAGTGCTACAACAATGCATCCGTTCTCGGTGACTGCAATGCTTTCCACTAAGGTGACACCACTTGCGTCGAGGTCGATCGTGCGCCAATGATTGCCCGAGACTGAGTAAAGCGAGATCTTAGCTCGACGCTTTACTGAATCTACATGAAACGGAAGTGAAGCGACAACCACACTCGAATCACCGTGGTGAAATGACACAGCAACCGCATTAGGAACAACTTCGAACACGCTAAGACGCTCTCCCTTCCCATTGAACGAGCTTATCGACTTTCGGTCTCCACTGAAGGAACTATCCAAGACATAAATGCGACCATCTCTAGCAACAGCGATATCTACAGCATCACTCAAGTATCTCTCGCCAAAGCTGCGAACAAGATGTCCATCGTCCTTGGATCGTTCGTAGACCTCCACCACGGCGTTGCACTTTGCCCCTTTTTCGCCTTCCAATACCAACACGTGCCCGGTTCCCCTGTCCACTGCAAGCGCACGCCCTTTAGACGTCTTTTTCAGCGGGAAGTTCCATATCCAGTTGTCGTGCTTGTCAAACACATGAACTTCGTACATATCATTCTTTACGACAAGCAAATACACGTTGTCAGCCCCGTCGGTATCAAGATCTAAGGTTTCGTGTTCCACGTCATCACTTAGACAGCGGAAAGATTTCAGGAAATGTCCTTTTCTGTCAAACACCTTTATCGTACGATCTCCACTGTCCGCTACGATGAAGTCTCCTAGCGAATTTGTTGCAATACTCTGCGGAAACTTTAGTTTTCCGTCACTCTTTTGGCCAAATGACCACAGGACAGAAACATTCATCATGCCTCTCTTACTCAGAACTTCCGCCACCTTCAGATCGCGCAGAGGATCAATCACTTCTATTCCAATGTGAACAGCAGGCAAGCTGTAAAATTGGCTGGCTTCGTCACATACCACCAATTGCATGATATCATATACCAAACGGTTAACTTCGCAAACGGAGGAAATAATTTCTGCACGTCGACTGCTCGATCCAAAACCCGACCAAACTTTAATCCCCCCTGAAAGTTGAGTTCCAAACGTCTTCTGGATCGTAAGATCGTCATTTAGCTGTTTAAGGATTGTTATGCACGACGTGAAAGCGTTTGCGGGTTTGTCTAACGTCATTAGAAGTGTTGTCCGAATGCGGTATTTTGCCGCCAAGATGCGATCCGAAATGTCCAGAGCTTTGTTACTGAATGCGTTTGTTGCTTTTAAATTTGCGGCGTCGAGACGCGTCATTGCTTTAGACAAAGCCCTTTCAGGTGAGTAATTCTTATCCTCCTTTCTTTTCCTGCGGAACAACTGCAACATATTTGCGAATTCTTCCGCAAAGATATTGATACATGCTAGGAGATCTGTTCTTGCCATTGAATCTATCTTCGATTTAATATCTTTGATGTCATCCAGTATGAAGTTGCGGAGATCGTGAGCCACAACATCGCCTCTACTCAGCATCTCTGCTACCTTATTTCGGAATTCACCAAGAAAAAGCAGGCTACCTTTAAAGATGAACTCCGCCATCGATATCACGTCCACCACTTCAGGCTTGCGAACGTTCTACTCGGCAACCTGAGGTGATTTATTGAGTAGCTGGAGGAAGAAGGAAAAAATATATAGATGCAAAATAGCTAAAGCACGCCCAAATTGTTAGACAAGCGGCTATGGAGGAGTGCCTGACAAAGCACGTTTTAAATGCCTTCAAGGCAAAAGCTGTTTTGAACATCAAACAATTGCTGATAGCATTTATGGTATGAAACACTTACAATGGTGTTCTTACTAACACGTTTATATACAGTCTCAGCGAAAAGCACGTATGGCATAAGGTTCAGTTCACTTGTAAGTCACTGTTGAATTATGTAGTATTCAGTGATATATGGCTTACACTGGCTCATATAAAGTACCGCGTCAATTATTTTACTTTCAGGCAGTTTATAGACATTCTTTAGTGTGTATAAACAAAAGCATTCTTTCCTTTGTAGCAAACACACTTTGAGCAGATGAGCAATATCACTAGAAGCGGATCAATAATATGACGGATTTTCGCTAGAATTGATTGCCCTGTTTAGTACGTTGGTTCGTACTACAGAGGCTACAATATTGGTAGGTATACCGTCAAAAGAAAACAACAACAGAAAAAAAACCTCCATGGTGATTTAGAATAGCTGGGAAAAAAAAGTTTTTTTTTTCCCCCTTCCCCGTAAGATTGCATTGCCTCAGCGAGCCTGCAATTTAGTGAACACTTGTCAGCAGCTAATCATTTGTCCTGTTATCGTTCATAAGTTTTGAGAGCAAGAACAAAAAAGGAAAGAAAGAGCGTACATGATAGGAGTTTGGCCGGAATTTTTGGGTCCGGCTTGCAATGTTTTTGTGAGCTGAGTATCCAGGAGTTTGACATGAAACACGACCCGACCAACGAAGCTGTAGTAGGCTGGGTCGAGTGAGTTAACGCTTCCGGTTTTGAATGGTTTGTTGCAACTTCCGGTTCTATTCGCCCTAAAAGGAAAATGACTATGCAATGATTAGCTTATGATGGTATGCCTAGTCGAGGGAAAGAGGGGATCACGAAAATTCCGCTTTGGACGACTGGAAAGGAATACGTAGCGGTTGACTGGTCGAGACAGGAAGGTATAAGCAATGCGGTGCACCTTTTTCCACTCAAAGTTATTCTCCGAAAATTGTCCGAAACTACAAGCCACAACTAGCAGTTTCGTTTTGCGTAACGCCACGAATCCCAAGCCACGCCTTTCGTCTTTTTAATTATTTATACTCCATGCAACAATCTACTATTCAGACTACACTAACAAAAGACATGCAGTGTGAATAGTTTCAGTTGAAGATGCATCAGTCAGTCATCTCATCTATATTCCGTCTTACAACATAATCTGTATCCTGGCAAATTACAACTCTTTGGTTCTAACAATTAGAACTTGTGCTACGCCAGATTTGGAAAACCACTAAAAAACACCCTTTTGATGTGTTAACAAAATATCTGGAACGTGTTCCTCGTCTAATGCAGCAGCACGAAACCCCGAGGAAAGGGTACAAAATCATTGCAATAAAGTAGGACATATTTTACATACAAGCTGTTACAACAAAAGCTTAATAAAAATGGTGGACGAACACGAAGACCGACTATTAACAAAGAATGACCCAATCTCCCGCCAAATGTCCAAATTGTCCCTAAACATTCCATGACGCCCCGCGAGCCTCTCCATGCTGCCGTCAGAATAATCATTTCTGACTAATCGTCCCTCGGTCATCAGAAATTACACAATATATCAATTTAGGGTTTGAACGAACGTCCATGTGATGGTGTACTTGACTCCACTGCTCGCACTGCTGGACAGAGGATACGAAACAAATGTGGGATTTCAAATTTGTCTGAGGGAGTTGAAAAGTTGCGACAGTATTCACTCAAGCAGTGGACTCATAGTTCTTAAATTTTCACTTTTCCCCTAGCTTGAGTCTTGATGCAAGAAATAAGTTGTAAAGTAATGAAACAGGTCTACGCTCGTGACTTCCAGCGTTAATTATTCTCACGATCGATTCAATTCCCTGATCTCATAGAGAATCATCTCCTAGCGCCTGTTGCTCGCATTTAAAACTTGTTTAATCTCCCTTCACCCTAAATTGCCAGTACCCTGTCCCAAGTCTTCTAGTACAAAAAGACAAAACAACAACAACAACAACAATAACATTGTCATGATGTTGGTTCATGGCAAGCCTCTTTAAAATCCAAGTTTGTGTGGCAATACCGTAACCTTCC